TTAAGCCAATCTTGAATATTTTCTTGTGTGGTTTCAGTCTCTCCAGCTGCCCCCCACAGTCTGAATGTCCTCTTTCTGTAATCCCTCTTGCTCCTAAATCCCATGCGTCTTTTAAAGCATGTGCTAAACTTTGAACAAAATTTTTCATTTTTCGTATTTCGATTTCGATTAAATACCAGATTAGTGAGGCTTGCCATATTACTCTTCGTTGAATCAAAACTCAACCGACATCTATCGGCAACCATGTGTCTTAGTAGCAGACTGTCCGCCAGATGGCAGGAGCGACGTGTTTCATGGCCGTCCGTTGTTTGCATCGTGGACACGAAGGAGTAGCAGGTGGTCATCTCGATGCCCTCTTTGTGGCAATGTCAACTAATGGCTCCTCGTGAGCCAGGATAGGTCAACACAGCGACTAAGTATAGACTGGACCATAAGGGAACTGGGGTTCACACCTTCGCAGGACAAAAACATTTATCTTCCTCACAGCGTCCGCGCCGACTCTCGGACCCATCCAGCGCACTGTTCAATAGGTACCGAAGTTTGTTCTCCATGGTTAAAGCAACCGAGGCGTGAAGCTAAACTACGTTCTCCCATGCCCCCATATATTTAAGCACAGCGACACTATACACTACCATTTGCTTACATATACGGTTTTATTTGCGAAGGGATCTACTAACGAATAGCTTTCGTGTCAAAACTTTGCATGCATTTTCTACTTTACTTGCTACATATTTCCGCTCTACTCACTTCACGGTATAAACTGGAGTACTTAAGAAATCTCCACGTCTATGACAATTGTATATTCATTACCGTGTTCACAAAAGAGCACTATTGAATAAAAATAAAAATAATAATAATAATAATAATAATAATAAGTAAAATAAAGGTAAAGTAAAGCTATCCCTGTAACAGGCCCTGGTGGAGGTCCATAGGGTTGTGAGATGTTGAGGCTCCCACATTGTCTAGACAATCGGTTCATAGGTGGTGGCAAGGTTGTCAGCCTTAGGCGCCGTCCGCCCTTTACCCCCAAGAATATTCATAGTACTCATTTCTGTTAGAGGCTGAGTCAACCCCAGGGCCATAGTGCGGCTGGAAGGATTAGGTCAGTTGAAAAAATCCATTGACCTCATCGGGACTTGAAACCGCGACCTTCCGGCTTGTAACATAGTGCCTCAACCAACTACGCTACCGCGTGCCCCCATAAGAATTCAATTCAATTCTTTATTATTTATGTGCCGAATCAACAGCCGCAAGGCCAATTACAGACAGAGCACAGGGTAGATACAAGTAATTACATTATGGACAAACACAACGTAAAGCCAAAGACAAATTACAGGTAAGCACTGGACGAAAACACAATAATGGAGACAAGTAAACAAACAAATGATAATAATAATTATTATATTAATAGGAGTCCAGCGTTTAAGGATGACAACCTCACCGTCATCTGCGAACCGATTTTCCATAAAAGGCGATAGCCTCGACGTCTCACATCCCTATGGGCCTCCACGGCCTGTTACAGGGATAGCTTTTACCATTTTATTTATTTTTTCACGCTTGTTAAAGAAATATCGGGGATGTCCGTGTTTTAAGTTGCTGGGCTGCTGTCTAAAACTCACTATGTATCCGGCAGGCTTTGTGACCGACGCTCGGTACAGGTTTTCTTCTTTTCCCTGTCTTGAAGCAATTTCTAAAACAGTTACCAAATTCGAAGTTCTGGTACAGTCCTCCTGTTTAATTTGATCACAGTCAAATCCCTTGCTCTGTAGGCCTCCAAATTATCTTCCAAAATTATGGAGCTCGGAATTAATCAGACAATTAAAATTCCGCATCCCTTGTTTACAGTGGTTCACAAAACTTAATTCTCTGACGTGAATCTACAAATTCGTTCACAAACACTGAGACTAGTGAGCATTGCTCAGGTTCTGAATAACTACCATTCCCGAAACTGAAGAACCAATCCATGGCTTGGTGTGCCCCCCGATTCCTCTGTCTCCATCCAACCAGCTCCAGCACTCAAGAACCCTGAGAGGTATTTACGTATGTGCCATGGCTTCCTGATGTCAGTCCTTGAAGGAGATGGATAACACCATCGATCTAGAAGCTCTCTGCCCGTACCGATAACTTGCCAGATGGTTTCCCGAAATAGCCGCACGGTTTGTTCATATTGCTCAAGAAATCGTGACGTCAGCAGTCCCCTTAACCCACAAATCAACACAGAAGGCCTCCATTGGCCCCAGGACATGCGCTCCTGTAAACATTGACAGAAAGAGATTTTAGGTTTTAAACCTGGAATGTCTCCGTGTAGTCTGGTAGGTGGCTACCAACGTTATAGGGGAAAATACTGACTCCATCAGCAATTCTATGTTGTAGAGAGAAACAGAGGATGCCCGCGAAATTTTGACAGCCATCTACCAAAAACTTCTGGACTTTATATCCCAGGCGATTGTAATTCTTTGCTTCGCCTCCTTATTCCACTCCTTCATGCCTCCCGCCCGCCCCCCTACCGGCCAGGTGACGAAACTGGGGCTTGCTGTCCCCACCCAATTTCAAGTTCAGAAACTGTAAGTCATGAAATCTGCAAATTCAGCATCGAGTGGTCACTGCCCATAGCAGTGCTGTTCTGTTGATAACTGCCGAGTTAGCGATCGTGGCCGATCTCAAGGGGGGCAGCTTCTCATGAGTTATTAAACAGCACTGTACCCACGCTCGGCTTTAGAGACTCAGTAGTTAAAGCCAGCAAAACTCTAGTGTAACTTTATCGTGATGGCATAGGAATATCTTTCGTTTTTTGTAGTTTCTTCTGGTGGTTTGAGTCTGATTCCACTTGGTACGTCGGCCACTACCTGGCTTGTTGCACCAGCCCCGGAAGACAGATCATGAGGAGTGTGGAGCAGTCGGTGGAATGAGAATTGGCAGAGGAAACCGAAGTACTCGGAGAACTCCCGCCCCAGTGCCACTTTCTCCACCACGAATTCCACATAAGTTGACCTAGACTCGAACCTGGGCCACCGCGGTGAGAACTTGACGACTAACCGCCTGAGCTTTGGCACTGCACCAGAAATATGGTACTTTGCATGCAGAGAAGGCAATTTATGTTCCTCCTATCACCGTACAGCCTGGTGGGGACCTGCAACATTTATCAGAAGTGCACTTTTCGTTTACCTGCAGAGATTAGGGAGGGGTTCGAGGGTTTTATTATCGCAGTTACGTTAGTTAGAAATTAGTTTCTAACTTACTGATATTTAGAACTTGACCTGACCACGGAAATTCCGACTTGACCTACCTCGTAGGGCTGAAGAGCCTGAATTCACACCGTGAAAATATAATTTCCAATCAAGGGCATGCATGTAACACGAATGAGAGATAAGTGCACGAAAACTTCTCATAGAAAAGCCTGAAAGAAAGAGACGAACAGGAATATATAAGCGTAGATGGAATAATAATAATAATAATTAATGTGTTTTCGAAGAAAGAGAATTGTTGGATGTTCATTGGATTCGTCTGGCTGACAATAGGGAGCAGTGGCTGCCTCTTGTGAACACAGTAATGAATCTTCGGGTTTGACGAAGTGCTGGAAATTTCTACAGCAACTGCAGAACTGGCAGCTTCTCAAGTAAATCTTAGCTGCATGAAATTAGTCAGTTATACAATGTGTTCCGTTCAAACCTCCCACATTTTAATTAATCATTGCGAACAAATTGTGATAAATTATGGATTATAAGTAACACCAGATGAAAGAAAAAATCAAAGAATTTTATTTCCGTTTTTCTTCGGCGCGTATACCTTGACATGTTAGAACAATTTCTGTATCCCGAGGTAGCCGATCTGCAGCCTAACATAATCTTCCAATAAGATGGGGTCTGGATGTTCGGAAGTCCCTCAATGCCAACTTCCAAGATCGTTGAATTGGAGGTGGCGGACCAATTCGATGGCCACCACGTTCACCGGACCTCACTCCGCTCGATTTCTTCCTCTGGGGTTACGTGAAGGACCGTGTGTTCGTGCCTCCAGCGAATTACCTCCCAGATTTACGGGCCCGCATCCCTGAAACGGTTGCTACTGTACCAATGGACATGTTGGAAAGAACGTGGCAAGAAATTGAATACAGATTGGATATTGTTCGTGCTACCAATGGTGCACATGTAGAGGTTTATTAGTGTGTCAAATAAGATTTGTTGAGTTGTTCTTCTATTTCCTTTAGCTTCATTTTCCTACCATTCACACTTGCTGTTCTAAGATCTCATAAAATGTGGGAGGTTTGAATGGAACATCCTATATTTCAGTCTAATAAGAACCTTTTATCTGATTTGACATTCTGAGTGGTTTCCCCCTTGGAATTCTGTAAGTATTTCTTGTTTGTAATGTCATTGCATCAAGTGGCTGCACTACTAGACACTCAGCAGGTCTAGTGTTACGCTTCAAGGGGCAGGGGCCGTCCGCCCTTTTGACCAGACCGGAGACAGAGCGAAAGGTTCCATCCCGGGAAGAGCTGGACAGACCATGGAATATCTCCCAGACTACAAGGCGTCATATGAAAGACGGTAATATTCAGCCTCAAAAAGGACTGAGGTCAAGTGTCAGGAAACCTGTCTCCCAGTGCATGGTGCTTGGACACGAGGACAACTACAATTTTCATCAGCTCTACTGTACTTCGGCCGAGTCGACCCCAGGACCATAGTGAGGCTGGAAGGATTAAATCAATTGAGAAATCCAATAACCTCATCGGGGACCGAATCCGCGACTTTCCGACTTCTAGCATAGTGACGGCCTGCACATAAGGCTGACAACCTTACCGCCATCTGTGAGCTGATTATTAAAAAAAAAAGTGGGATCCTCGACGTCTCACAACCATGTGGGCCTCCACGACCTGTTACAAGGATAGATTCATCTTTTGACTTACTGTACTTAACCCACTTTTGCAGCGTGTCTTCAGTTTCTTACGCATCCCAAAATGGAGCGCCGAGGAGGGGGGATGCGGGGGCGTCTGGAGCCTGGAGCGGACGCCGCCCTCCGCAGTCAGTCCCAACACTGCGCGCTGAGTGGTCGCCTGCTCGACTCCGGCTTGCTGCAACACCAGGTGGGTCCGGCATGCAGTGAGAAAAAAAGAACAGTGTGGCAGGTGAATGTGACGCCGTGCTTTCTGGTAGAAATTTATCATCCCAGAAGCCACACTGCGCTACATTCCAGAAAGACGCAAATTTAATATTCACTGTCTTGAGATCGTCAAACCGTAAGAATGTATGGTGTCTGAGAAGGGGTGGCTGTGAAGGGGTGAGAGGGAGGGAAGTGACAGGAGGCTAGAGAGAACTGCAAAGTGAGGGCCTCCATATTTTGTACTCTTCGCCGCATGTTATTAGAATGTTCAAATCAACAAGAATAGGCTGTCTTGGGCACGTAACATGCATTTGTTTGTTTATTTGTTTGTTTGTTTGTTTGCTTGCTTGCTTGCTTGCTTGTGTCTGTTACTTTACGAAACTGCCAGTAGACATAGCGCAGAATCTTAGGATGACAGGGGAAGAATAAATTAGAAAAGATATGGAAGAAATCTGTCATTGTCAAATCGTAGTACTATCCCTTTATTTGTCTGGAGGGACTGAGTAAAACCGTGAGAGCCCTTAATATATCGGGTGCCTAGGCCGAGATTCAAACTTTGCGCTTTCCGAATAGAAACCAAGAGCTTCAGCGCTCTTCCAGCGGAAAAGATTGCAGATATTTTTTTCAGAAAACCCGAAGTGACCAAACAGAAACCTTCAGCTCACACCCTCTCTCTATGGCTCCACAACCTTTTCGACCTTGGCTTATTTTTCAGTTTCTTAATCCTATACAAATTCAATAAGACTCCTTGGACGGGGGATCAGCCCGTGGCAAGGCCGCTACCTGCACACAGAACAGCAGAAACGGAATAAACGCACACACATCCATGCCTCGAGTGAGATTCGAACCCACGATCCCAGTGTTCGAGCGGGCGGAGACGGTTCATGGCTTAGACCGCGCGGCCGCTGAAATCGGCTTTGAAGTCATTTATGAGGATAAAATTAAGATTTCAGATTTCTTTTTTATTGCTAGCGGTGTGGGACTAAGTCCCTTGTACTGCGGACACTTCTGGCCTATTGTACCAGCCCCAGATGATAGGTGAGGGTGATTGTGGAGCAATTGGTGGAATGAAGATTGGCAGGGGAAACCGAAGTACTATGAGAAAACCTGCCCCAGCGCTACTTTGCCCACCACAAATCCCACTTGACAAGACCTGGAATCGAACCCGGGCCTCCGCGGTACGAAGCCAGCGACTAACCGCTTGAGCTATGGTGCGGCCTATCTTCAGATATAGTATGAAAGATTGTGGGCCGAATGTGTTTAGTTTAGTATCTTCGCAGAATACTAAAAAATGATCACATGACAGAGGATGCGATGGCCGGGTCGTGTAGCACACACGGGAAGGACGACAAACTTGTGCAATATTTCAGAAGCAAAACCTCACCAAAGAAATTTCTTATCGCTATTGTCTCAGTTTAAAGGACAATTATAGAATGCATGTTAGAGAAATAAAAATTTCGGTTGCTGTCTTTAATGTCTACAAATTTAACAAAGTTAATTGTGTTTTATATTAATGGGGATATGAAATGTGTACCTCTTTCTAATGATGCTTGTCGACATAAATATCAAGATTGGTTTCATTCCGTGAAATCAATAAACTATTGATTTGTGGTCAATTTAATGGGATAAATCAGTAATCCTTTGACTTCCATGTGAAGAGTAAGAAAAAAGTAAAGCTATCCCTGTACCAGGCCGTGAAGGCCCATTGGGTTCTGAGATGTTGAGGGTCCCACATTATCTAGAAAATCGGCTCAAAGATGGCGGTAAGGTTGTCAGCCCTACGCGCCGACCGCGCTTTACTACCCAGGAAAATTATTTAATTAATTCCTGGTACTAATTTCGGTTAGAGGCTGAGTCGATCCCAGGGCCATAGTGCAGCCGGAAGGATTAGGTCAACTGAAAAAAGTCCAATGAACTCATCGGGACTTGAACCCGCGGCTTTATGGCTTGTGGCATAGTGCTTCAACCAACTGCACTACCGCGTTTCCCCCTCCATGTGAACAGTGCAGGTATATGAACAATTAATTTCATACCTCACAGGAAACACATTACGTCTCCGCTACATAGCCCAACCGGTTAATGCTGTTTGGGGAAACAGTCGCTGTTTATTGTGAGAACCATACGGAACACACAGATACACTGTGTGGGCAGAAAATGCTTAGTTTCTTAACGTTAAAACAGATAGTACGTATTATGACCCCTGTGCTCTCAAAAGTTGAGACTGTAGGTTCCTTCCGTACAATAAAGGAAATACTGAACAATTCAAATTTGTAAAAAAAAAAACCTGTCCCTGTAACAGGCCTGGGAGGCCCATAAGGTTTCAAGATGTCAAGACTCCCACATTTTCTAGAAAATCGGCTCGCAGATGGCGGTGAGGTCAACCTTACACACCGGTCGCCCTTTAACCCCAGGAAGATTCCTGGTACTCATTTCTGTCAGAGGCTGAGTCGACCCTAGGACTCTTTGCTACTGGAATGAATAAGTCACTTGAAAAATCCACTGACCTCATCGTCAATCAAACCCGCGACCTTCCGACTTGTAGCATAGCGCCTCAATATGAGTTCCGAAAGGTTATCATGTTGTTACTGAGAGAGGGCTCCACCGCTTCAAAGTCTTGGTGCTGTAATGCAGGTTGCTACTCTCCTCTTAGTGGCACGTGACGTTGTTGTGGGCCAAATGGATGTCAGTATTTTTAATCACCTAGTATTTGTAACTAATTTCACTTGCTGTTCATCTGTCAGTCATGACGCTTCATGACGTCGATTCTTCTGCACGGGTGTGAAACTTGGCTTGTCAACAAGAGAAAGTGCCGCACCTGGGTACAGGTCGTTTAAGAAGAAAATTCAGTTGAGTTCTGAGAATGTAGAGATTAACTGACAGTCAAATGGAGACAGTTACGTAGAAGTACACCTGATAGTTTGCTCCTTCCTTGTATTTTTTAACCTTTCAGGGAGGAACATAGACTGATGGTTTTTGAGAACGGTGCTGAGGAGAATATTTGGACCGAAGAGAGATGAAGTGACGCGAGGTTGGAGAAAACTGCATAATGAGGAGCTTCATAACTTGTACTCTTCTCCAAGTATAATTAGAATGATCAAGCTAAGGAGGATTTAGATGGACAGGGCATGTAGCACGAATGGCTACGAAGCTTGTGTATGGAATATCTGTGAGAAATCCAGAAGGAAAGAGACCACTAGGAAGAAGAAGAAGACATAGATGAATGGATAATATTAAAATACATCGTAAAGAGATATGATGGGGTAGTAGGGACTGGACTGACTGACTGACTAAGGATGGGGACCAACAGAGGCCTCTACAGAACACGGTAAGGAACCTTCGGGTTCCATAAAATGCTGGGAAGTTCTTGAGTAGCTGCACAACTGGCAGCTTCTCAAAAAAGGCACAGCTCTATGCAGTTAGTTATTTACGTGAACTAAAGCTCAGTCGGTAAAGCGCTGGCTGCGAGCTCGACGTCCGTTGTTCGTTCGCCGGCAGAGGAAAGAAATTATTCTCCTCTACACAGCGCCCAGATCGGCTCTGGGGACCACTCAGCGTCCTCTCCAATGGGTACCGGTGGCTCTTTCCCCGGGGCAAAGCGGCAGGGGCGTGAAGCTGACTACTCACCTCCATCTAGTGCCAAAGTAAAGAATTGTGGAGCCATACCTCTACTCCCCAATAAGTTTTTATGGAGTTTTGCTTAATTAGTTAGACTCAGAGACTTAACTTACATGAAGTACGTGCTTCGAAGTGCTAAGGGTCTTTTTCAGGACAGATCACGGCAAATGCTGCGGAAACGAACGAGACAATATATTTATTGGGGAAGTCTTGTGGAGACAGAGATTTTGAGATCACAGAATGGCACAGAGTGGAAGAGATCTTAGTTTCAGTAATTTTAGGCCCACTCGAGGGGGGGGGGTGAATAAGTCGTACGCCATTCTCCAGCTCTTCATCTGAACCTCCTTGTGGGCCCACAGCTGCATTGCCTTCACAACATTAACATCTTCTGGTACATTTTGTAAAAAGAAAACTGTTCGCTTCTTTTTGTGAAAGCGTCTTCAAAACTAGGCCTCCGTGTTTTGTTTTCCACGCATAACACTAATGCAAAATTGGCATCATCTCTCACTCCAACTGGACGCATCTTTGAACTTTAGGTCTACTGAATGATCTTCAATGAAATATGGATCTCTAAAAGTTAACTTGGGAACTTCTGCATGTTCCAGCCTGCTCTAACATTAAAACGAACTCTTTGTTTTCTCCCACAGAGTGAATTTATGTCTTCATGTGATTCTCACAATGGACACCGATTATTTACATAAACATTGTTGTCACATATATGGTCTTAGCGTGACGAATAATTGTGGAACCTAGATATGTTAATTGGATTTAGTGAATACTCAAAAGTCACAGCTTCAAGTAATTATAACACTCTGAAGATTACTGTAACTATAGCACATAAAATAAAGTCTTCAACGTCCGCCTGCTTAGCGTTGCTTGGTAACACTGGTGGTAAAACTGCACTAATTTTTAACCTGGACATCAGGAAATTGTTAGTTTAACATTGCGGCCTTTTTAGAAATTCGACAAAAACCCCACAGTGCAATTTGGATATGAGGCTGCGTGGGCCCTAGACTCGGTCCAGGCGCAATAATGGCGAAGAATTCCTGCACCTGCGAGAGATCGAACCTCGACGCGTTCATTGACTGAATTACCTGGCTCATTAGGTACACAATGGATCTAAAGTGAATCACGGAACATCTTTATATGGATCTGTCGTGATTAGAGGTAACGTTTTCTTTCCAGTAAGCACTACCGCGTCCAGAGTATGCGTGTATCCACAGGTCTCGCTGAAATTGTTCCCAAATTTCTAACCTCTGACCGCTCGCTTCTGTTGCAGCCCAACCGATTCAAATTCATCAGAACTAAACCCACAAAGATCAAATTTTATTCAGATTATGAAGTTCGCCTTTAATCATAAAATCAAAATTCGTGGGCTTTTATCTGAAACCCATAATTCTTACCGGTATAAAAACTGATTCATTTCTCCCCCAACTAAAAGAAGCGTACCTGACCTCTTCAATGACATTCCTTCTACAACCACTCTTTTACTTTAACTCCCCCCCCCCACAATGGACTACAAAGTTTATGTATCTAAAATGTAACGGTGGAACTATCCCCGCCCTGAACTAATTAAGCACTTCGCCATGAAGACACATGGAAGGTGGACGTATAGACCTACGTATTCTTGACCTTGGCACTAGTTGGAGTGATCAGCTTCACGCCCCGACCGCTTTAACCCTCGAAAAGAGCCCCCGATACCCAGTGGATAGGAGACTGGGTGGACCCCAGAGCCGGTCTAGACGAAATGGATATGAGAAAAATCCTGTTCCTACCGGAACTCGAACTCGGGCCTCTCGGCTCTCCAGCCCGTAACCAGTCGCTATAGTGACTGAGCTATTCAGGCGCATATGTAAAGTAAAATTGTTCGTATACTTAACTAATTAAGCACAACGCCATGAAGGCGTATGGAGGAGTTGATGTGTAGATCCACATTTTCTTGACGTCGGCACTAGTTGGATGTGAGTGGTCAGCTTTACGTCCCTGACGCTTTAGCCCGGGGGAAGAGCCCCCGGTACCCATTTGACAGGAGGCTGGGTGGGTTCCAGAGCCGGAGGATGTGGAAGAGAGAATATTCTTGAAACTACTGGGACTCGAACTCCACCTCTCGACAGTCCAGCCCGTAGCCAGTCGCTATACCGACTACTCTATCCCAGCTCCTGTTCTAGAAGCATATATCTGTAACACAAATTGACGTTCTCCCTGAGCTAAGCGCTGCTCAAGCCCTGGGTAACACCCTTGCAAGAAAGTGCTGCAGAACTCCTTCGGCTTGGCTACTCTTGCAGGCTTCAGAGGGTTAGTGCACGGGGAGCTGTAGCGATAGAGCTGCAGTGCTGTTCCCATTCGCTGCCACCAAATTTGGCGCGGTGTACGCTTACTGCCAGGCTGGCGGGCTATTTCCGTTGACGCGCCTTGTAAATGAGAAACAGGCGGCAAGCACTCGATTCGTATCTCGTCTGTACTCTCTCTCGACTTGCCATCTAAATGTAAATAATATACAGCGTCCTTCCGACAGCCACCCACAGCCGTGATTCCAGTGCTGTCCCACTCTCAATATGTGCACACACACACACACACACACATGAAGTCGAGTTAGCTTAGTCGGTATAATGACGGCGTACGGGAAGAATGGCCTGGGTTCGATGCCCGGCAATGCGAAATTGTTCTTTTCTCTACAGCGTCCAGACCGACACTAGGTGCCACCCAGCCTCCTATCCATTTCGTGCCGGTGGTTCTTTTCTCTGGGGTAAAGCAGCAGGGACGTGAAGCTCACCACTCACCTCCATCTAGTGCCACGATCAAGAAAGGTGGAGCTACACCTCCACTCCCACGTATGTCTTCACGGCATAGTGCTAAAGTAATTAGGCACAGGGACAGCTCTACCTTAAATAAGCACATTATATGTAATAATCTTGTGTCTCCTGGAAACATACGCTCTTCTTGACAAACTTACTGTAGCTCAACCAATCAAGAATATTCATTAATCATTTCGTATTTATAAGAGCCCGCCACTGGGCTCCACCACAAACCACACAAATTTAGTCCACAGTTTTACGCCTAGTTCAGTAAGATTAATCTTAATATTATCCTTATATCTGTGATTATTTCTCCCAAGCTGATCCCCTTCGTCTGGTTTTCGGGCTAAAATACTGTAATGAATTCTAGCCCCCCTTACGTGCCCCATGTCGCTTTCATCATACACAAAAATGCAAGGCCTCTTTCTTCCCGGGGATAAAACTACCGGAGCTTGAAGCTGTATATGCACTTCTATGTAGTGTCGATCACTACAATGAGTTGAGGTTCAATTCCACATCTAGATATACACCTTAGTAGTCTAGTGTTTAGACAGAGGGGCAACTCGACACACAACAGATATGGTTTGTCTTCAGGCCGCGTGAAGGTAATTCTGTTTCCTTTGTCATGTTCTTTCTCTGTTCTTCTCTTCACGTTTGTCTTCAAGGAGAAGAAAGAAGATATAATGAGCTGCATATTTGTACAATAAACAAATAAATGGAAAATGTAATAATATAGGTAGTGCTGATGAAAATAAGTAAAATATATCACTGCAGCAATTTCTTTTCTGTTAGAAGCTGTAATCTTGGGTCTCCACCCAGCTCAAACCAATCTTAGATATTTTCTGGCATGGTTTCAGTCTCTCCAGCTGCCCTCAACACAGTCTGCAAGTCTTCTTGCTCTAAATCCCATGTGCCTCTTTAAAGTATGCACCCAACTTTGAACAGAATTTTTCATTTTTCATTTCTCATCTCATTATCCTCATTAACTGTAACTGGATTAACGAGGGTTTACTGAATTCCTCTTTCGTGAGACATGACAAACTTCGAAAGACTCTCAGTCAAACGGCAGCCATTGCAGAGGGGCTCAGGAGGGACGGCAGAGAGCCCACCAGTCTGCACCACGCCAGCTCATTGCGTCATGCAGCTAGCGCTTAAGCCCTTCTTTCTGTGAGCAGGCCTGTCTGCCACTTGGCTGGACACCAATAAGATTACAATGAGCTCGGAGCAGCGGCGGAGTCTTCATATTAATCGCGCTAGAACCGCTGTCACTTATGAAGAGAAGTATTAAGCACTTCACATATTTGCAGAAGAATAGATCGGGTAACACATCGCATGTCACCTCTGTCCACGCAATCATGTTAACATGGTGGACTTGCCTGGTGCTCGAGGAGGTTGCAGCTGGCGGAAGAAAGCAGGCAACAGTGGGACGGAGAAGCGCGTGTTTATGTTGGAAAACCTCATGATATGTCTCAAGATTTTGACCTTCACAATTATTTGGCAGTATTTTTAGGGGTACTAACGCAAGCCAGAATACTTGTCCAAATATCTAATTTATTTTCCTTCTCGCTTTGTAATTCATTCCCCTTTTATCTTTAACTTCATTACATTTCAGCTCAAATTTGCAGAGTTGTGTTGTACGATATGTGTGCGCAATTGCCAGAATTTGTAGGACTCCTGTCTGCTAACACTTCTGAAAAATTATGTCTCACCTCTGATAAAGCAAAAGAGAAGTAAAATTATCCTCGTGTTTAACTAATTAAGCACCTCACTATGAAGACGTGTTCGAGAGTAATTGTATAGATACACGTGTTTCTGACCTCGGCACCAGCTGGAGGTGAGTGGCCATCTGCCTCTGTACCCTCGGTACCCTTTGCATAGGAGGCTGGGTGGGCCCCAAAGTCGGTCTGGATGATTTACACCCAACGGGACTCGAACTCAACTTCTGGTTGCGAGTGTGAATCATAAAAGTTACTTTGCCCTTGCATAGAATTATAGTCGTAAAAGTTTAGCCCCGTTATGATTGTTATTTTGTTTCATTTTTCGCAAAGAACTTTCAGTAAATACAAATAGATGTATTTTTTTTTTCCTTGGCACTACAACCCTAGTGAGCCTAGGCCTACCTCCATGAACTTCTCCGTTCACTTTCGGTTTTTCTAGATCATGCACATTCGGTAGGACTCCTTGGGCGGGTGATCAGCTCGTCGCAAGGCCTCTACCTGTACACAAACACAGAAAAACGCACACACATAAACTAAACATCCATGCCCTGAGTGGGATTCGAACCCACGATCCCGGTTTCCAAGCGAACGAAGACAGTACATGCCTTAGACCGCTCGGCTACCATGACCGGCCAAATAGATGCATTACCTACTTTGAATTTGTGCCACATAAATTAAAATATTCTTACTGCTGCCATGTCTGCAATGCTTATATTTGTGGTCTGTCTTGGTACCAAAGTTCACATGCCTAGCTACACTGGTTCGTTAGTTACGACCATAGAACATGGAACTTAAGAATATTTCCTCACGGTTGTCATATTTTTATTTTACATTGTACAAGACAGTTATCTAAAAAAAAAGTTGTACACTTTCTCATGATCTGTTACAGTACATCATGTCGGATCCTAACACAGGCCTCAGTGGCGGTCCTCTTGATTTCACTTCACAAGTTCGCTCATCCTCCATGTTGTGATTGTTGAATGTAAGATGTGTAGAATTCGGTGGGTTTCCCTTAAATGACACGTGTTCACACCAAACTTCGTAAAAGTTATAAAATTCAGAAGAGAGTCACTCAGACTCAAGACAGTGGTCACATAAGCGTTTGTTTTCTAANAAAAAAAAAAAAAAAAAAACAGTAGGGTGCAGACAATAATGGAACAGTCATACCCCGTGTTAAAATGTCACTGACTTCTCTCCTGACACTTTGCAGTTTGTAACGTTTCTTTATCAAAGAGATTTATTTCTCTGCTGCTTAGATTATGTTAGTTTCGGTTATGTGACCGATATTCACGGAAACTGTTAACAACTTCATGTAATTTCGGGTCACCTTATGCTCGCACAAAATACCACAAAGATGATGGCCACACTACTGTGTGTCTGAGGATTCCTGTCTCTTCTGACTTTTCTGAAGCCATATTTGTAAGATTCTGTGTTTTGTTTCAGGTCCCAGGTTCAAGAACTCGCACACAAACATGGCGGACGATGAGGTGAGGTAAGTATCTAGATGGCCATGACCGTCTTCCTACAGAAAAGAATTTTACTGTGGCAGAGCTGGAATAGCGATCAGTGTTGCACTGTCTTGCAGGATAGGTTCCAATAGCCGGGCTGAATTAGTATAATTAACTTCTTCACTTGCACGCGGTAGCGTAGTTGGTTGAAGGGCTATGCTACAAGCCGGAAGGTCGCGGGTTCAAGTCCCGATGAGGTCATTGGATTTTTTTCAGTTGACCTAATCCTTCCAGCCGCACTATGGCCCTGGGGTCCACTCAGCCTGTAACAGAAATGAGTAGCAGGAATTTAATAAATAATTTTCCTGGGGAGTAAAGCGCGGCCGGCGCGTAAGGCTGATAACCTTACCGCCATCTTTGAGCCGATTGTCTAGATAATGTGGGACCCTCAGCGTCTTACAACCCTATGGGCCTTCACGGCCTGGTACAGGGATAGCTTTACGTTTTACTTACTTGTGAAATAGCTCGATTAATTTCTGATTTTATCTTGAGACCTATTAATCAGAGTTAATTGAAATATATACATAAGTTTTAATATATTACAGATAGAGCGTTCACTGCTAACAATTCTAATGTAACGAAATGTTTACAGCAACCCCCACCCACCCAACCGTGGATTTCAGATAACCTCGGTTATCAATTTACGTCTATTCTTGTGAACGTGGTATTTGTTTTTAAAGGCTTATCCGCAGTTCTGAATTTGTCTGTTCACGAAGGACTCAGTTGGCTCAGCACAGAGATACACATTTACTAGCTACAGGACTGTAATGACAGCCAAGCACAATATTCTTTGTTCCAGATTTTCACTGAACTGCATCTGCGTCTATTGTTATATGTCGTAAATTACGTAGGATCTTCTTGGATTTAACGCCATGTAGTCCACTGAAAGTCGTGTGCAAGTGCCATGTACTGAAAACTGAAGCTAACTATCTATAGCTTCCCAGTAGGTTCATATATGCATTTTATTAGGAAGACACAGAAAAGAAAAGTTACCTGTTTTATGCATTAATCTAGACAGAGACCTGGTTAACGAGTACATACGTAAGAGATCTCATTAAAGAAGTACATAAGGACATTCAAGTGCATAATATAGTCATGAATTTACTTAAAGTTTGTAAAGGTACATTATAATAGTAATTAATTTATACAAATGGTAACTCTCCTACCATTCTCCTAGATAAATAAACCATGCTTGGAATAATTGAATATTTCTCCTCCTTGAAAAAATTCAACTCTTTGTTACATATGTCGTTGCCCTGGTAACTGATTGTTGTTTCTCTTCCTCCATGCCCCTCCTCATTTCAGTACCACAAAACCTACACAGCTCTCTGTGACTTCAACAGGTATCACGTTTTGTTTCAGCGAAATGTGGCAACTTCCTGCTGATAATTGCCCCACTTCCGGATCTTAAATACAAATAGATTTTCTGCATTTCGTGAGGTACGCAGTTTATTTTCGTTGCAGTAAATACAGATTCTGAAACCTAGAAACGATATAATCGGAGATATAAATAATGGTTCAAATATTATTTTTAGATGTTCAGCGCCATGTTACAAGCCGGAAGGTAACGGGTTCAATTCCCGATGACCTAATCCTTCCAGCCGCACTTTGGCCCAGGGGTCAACTCAGCCTCTAACAGAAATGAGTACCGCGAATCTTCCTGAGGGTAAATGACGGCCGGCGCGTAAGGTTGACAACCTCACCGTCTTCTGTGAGGCCACTGTCTAGAAAATATGGGAGCCTCGACGTCTCACAACCCTATGGGCCTTCACGGGCTCTTACAGGGATAAATTTACTTCTTCTTACATAATATGGGAGAATGATAGGGGAATTCAAACATTAATTACTCTAAGTTTGCTCTATTTAGAGGCCTAAATATATATTTGTATTCTCTGCCTGAAAATACAACTGATAGAAAATTTACTACGAAACTGAATCATAATTTCTGTACAGCTGAAGTTTCCCGTAAATGAGCGGACTCCGTTTCCCTGTGACATTACTCCATAAATCCCAGGAAAAAATTTGATCACCCAGCGATTTGCGATAAGTAAATGTTATACTCTTTGTCATGGCAGAAGCAATTCAAGTAGCATTGATTGATGTTAAATAAATTACTATTTATTCGAGGTGAAGGCAAGTCGGTTGGCAATTTTCACGGGTTGTGTCACGCATGTTGACATCATCACGTGATTTCTGTGTTGCCCCTGTCAAACCTCAACCCGTACAGCAGGTCCGCACAACGGCAAAGCGGCTCACCCCGGCATCCCGAGTTCAGACATCGGTGGATGAGCGCGGCTCACCTTACTCACACCTCACCAAATGAGATACATTGCGAGTGAAACACAGCCTGGTTTGGTAATGGAGTTTTGTGGTGCCAGTATCAATTTGCCCATTGTCCATTTCCCATATCAACTAGGATACGAATTTTCACGAGTTGGTTCTGCTGCCTGCTTCAGGTGGTTGGTTGTCATGATTCTCGTCTTCTTGCATTCATATACCCATATTGTAATGGTCTTGCATGTTTCTGTACCCTCTGAGTACAAAGAAAGTGGCTGTTGGAATGGTGTCCGTCTGTCAGTCTGTCTCTATATATGTATGTATGTGTGTACATATGGAGGCACGCCGTTCCCACCCCATGACTCAAGGTACGCGGGTTCAAACCCGGCGGAGGTCTTGGAATTTTTAAGGGCGGAAAAATTCAGGGAACAAGTCCTCCGGGAGGGACTTTAAGCCGTGGGTCCCGTGTCGTAGCTTTACGGCACGTAAAAGATCCTCATGTCTCTAGGAGACCTCTGAGCAAAATTAGGTAAAAAGTTTCCCGCCCAAATAGTTTCCAGTGCCTCCGGTAGATGGGGGAACTATCGGGTACCTCTGCCAGTAGAGGGGCCGAACTCACTGGCTGATAGTAAGCACCAGTAGCGGAAGGGTATGGCGACTGGTAGAATATCAAAGGGGGACGTACAGTAGATCAACAACTGGTCGCGGTGCATGGGGAAACCCACCCCCTCTAATAATGAATTAATGAATGGAGGCACGCGGTAGCGTAGTTGGTTGAGGCACTGTGTTACAAGCCGGAAGGTCGCGGCTCCGATTCCCGATGAGGTCGTTGGATTTTTCAATTGACCTAACCCTTCCAGCCGCACTATGACTCAGCCTCTACTAGAAATGAGTACCAGGACTTGCATACACGAACCGACAGAGGCGAGGGCGAAACTCACAGCCGTCACCAAATGCATTTACGTAATTGGCTTGGCGGGGGTGGGGGCGTGGTGGTAATTCATGCTGCTGCGGACCGTGTGATTGCTCCTACATATATGTCACATGACGTACCACGTGGGTTCCTGCAACTATGTCGTTACGTCGTACCGGTTTCTGATACGCTCAGTTATTCACCCAACTTTCTCTTCGTTACGGAGTGAAAGGTGGAGGGAACGCGCATGTCCTGTTTAGGTGGAAATGGTCCGTTACTGGCTAAGAAATAAATGATATGTACATGGCAAGATTGGGGGCGAGCGGTAGCGTAGTTTGTTGAGGCACTATGCTACAAGCAGGGAGGTCGCGGGTTCAAGTCCCGATGAGGTCATTGGATTTCTTTCAATTGACCTAATCCTACCAGCCGCACTATGACCCTGGGGTCGACACAGCCTCTAACAGAAATGAGTACCAGGAATATTCTTGGAATATTCTTGGGGGTAAAGGGCGGCCGGCGCGTAAGGCTGACAACCCTCCCGCTGTCAGCCGATTGTCTGGATAATGTGGGATCCTCAACATCTCATAACCCTATGGGCCTCCTCGGCCTGTTACAGGGATAGTTTTACTTTACTTTGCTTTTCTTTTACATAGGAAGATTAATAAATAAATAGGTAACGGATGAATGAGAATATAAATGAACTTATACATAAGAAATGAATTTGTAAATAAGCAAGTTACAAGATCACTGAAAGAATAATGAATTCAGGAATGTTTGAATGAAATTTGCAGTTAATTTAATAACATTATCTCTATGTCAAATTATACAAAGTCTGAAAATGATAGAATAAAAATAAATTAGTGCATACATGAATAAGGAATGAAAAAGATAAGTCTATACGATATTAATTAGGGAATTGATTAATAACCGAATAAATAAATAAGACAGCCAGTCACCTGAAAGCGAAAGTATTCAGCCTTGAACTTTAAGACAAAAGACAACGTCTCATGTATTATCGGCCTAACAATTTGGCTTCACATATGTCCTTTAAAAACACATTGTTACTGGCTTCTGTAACTGCCAGATATGGCATCAGAAAGTGCGTCCATGACTATAATTTCACTCCATACGTAAACAACTCTCACGGCTTGTATCTCTTTGGTAAAGGTAAACAGTTCAGGCCACACGCATGGCCTCATGCTGTGTGTTGCAATATACAAGACATCATACACATTCATAATGCATATCGCATGCCACAAAAGTACACATAATGGCGCATGCGCTGAGGATTCCAAGGAGAAGAAGATCTAGGAGATTACAACTGTAAGACCCGTGTTCATGCTAACTGCTCCATGTCCTATTGCTCTATGTGTTTTCAGGACTATTTTTGTGTGTGCTGTGATTACATGCATTATTATTATTATTGTTATTATTATTATTTTCTCAGATATGTTTATTTTTAGGCATGCAACGACTCCTCAACCGCACAGCCATATTATTTATATGAAATAATAATGCAACTCATTTCCCAAAGCTGTATTTTTACATTTGCAATAAAACTTTTTCTGCTGTTCTCTTACATTAGCTGGCCATATTTTTTTATATATTTTATGATGTTTATTGCTGGTTTCATTTTGTGTATATATGTGTCTTAACGCTATCTGAAGCACTGACTGTCTTTATCCCAGTGAATGTTTCGAATCAGCATAATATTGTGTACATACTTGAGCTTGAAATGTTTTATGAATTATGTTTGGATAAATGCTTTGTTTTAGCTAATGATTTATTTTTTTTTATTTCTAACACCTGAATTGTGTTTTTGCCCATTCGGAAACGCATTTAGCTTTCTGCCGAATAATAAAGTGCTTGAGAATCTGTTCATCATTATTTTGCCTGTTGAAGGAAAATGAAATAAAATCATGTTCAATGTAACCTCTATCAGTGCCTTGATTAGCCAGTTAAGGATTCTATTTTTGTTTTCAGTCTATCACAAAAAAAGTTTAAAAGTAATATGTCAACAGATAAATATGCATACATTCTCAGATAAATTAAAGTCATGAAGCCATTAAAGAGCTATATTTATTTTTAACTTGAAGTCGAGATTGTAATCAGCGTTTCAGAAGTTAAAATTTCTATTTACACTAAGATGCAATTGAACTTTGTGTGTATTTATAGCTGAAATATTCAATATTTTACTATCGGTACGTAATTCTGAAATTGACATATTTCGGTCATCAAAGACCATAAAAAGTTCCGCTCTTCTAATTGACAACAATGTCTTCTACACGTATGGTTTGCATAATATACTCGTATCAGAATTTTATGTGAAGGGATTAATTAGTAATTTATTTTATTTCTGTTTCTTTTGCAGAGAAGGCGGATCGAAGAGGCACGTAATGTACCGGCATGCACCTGAAACTAACCAAGCCAAGAGAGAAGAATGAATGGCAATACCCACACAACCTCAGCATGAGACATAACACAAGACGTGAAACCTGCATTTCTTATACGAACCTTGAAATCCATGTGCATTTCCTCTTTAGTTAATACTTAAATTTAAATTGCTGTGTTTAAAAACTTTTTCCTGAGTTCATAACTATAGCGCATCCTAAAATGTATGTAGCAATGAAGAGAAGCTGAGAATCACTGGATTAGATATTAGTTATACCAGTGACCTGTTCACACTTTCTTCTGACGCCGACACTAGCGCTGCCAACGGGCATGTTGTGTGTTACATCGAGTACTGCTGTAACCAATTACATGTTCCTCGCGGTACACAGATACGATTGGTCGTTTTGTTTCAATATTATATTCAGCGGGGGATTTACCGGTGAGTGGACTAAGCTGCCAATTAGGTTCCCGACTTCCGAGGGGCCCCCAAAATTGTTCTGTAAACTTAAAAAAAACGTATACCCTTTGTCTATTTTATTGCTCAATGCAGTGGTTACCAATCTAAGTGGCGCGCTCCAAAGCGGTGCTCGCAACAATTATGAGAATGTTCCAAAACGAAACTACCAACTGATGAAATTATGTATATATTTATTCGCCGCATAAAATCCAATAAAAACAAACGGAACAGCACTAGTTACGCAGGCCGGATATCTTAAAATTGGGCAGTCTTTGAATTTTATTATCGCACGTTTTATTTTTATTGAAACTGTTCCCATTGCATTGTTATGAATTTAGGCATCTCTGCCAGCAGCTTAAGCATGATTCCCAGTTTTCGGCGGTGTGTTTCGAAAATGCGAATTTGCTTTCCTCCCAATGTCTTTAAAGGATCCCTGTAACAGTGGATATGTGCTCGTACGTGTGACCGCTACGTGTCTGCACATATCGTGTGCACCTGGATTTTTATATAAGTAAAGTCGAGGCAGGAGAACTGTCCTGTAGCTTACGTTGCATGCGGCAGTAGCGTAATTACGCTACTGCTCTCTGCATTCACAAGCCATTCACCTGCTCTGAAGATTGAGGCGATACGTTCCTCCGAAACATCGGTCAAAACGAATAATACACGGCGCCAAAACCCAGAAGACGACTTTCTTCATAGTCATCGCCGTGAAAACCTCAAAACTTACAAAATTTTGAGTTGTTATTTTTATTGTTATTATACAGATTTTTAAACTCTGAATTTAATCAAAGACTGCACGAAAAGAAATGTAAAATTCATATCAGAAATGTTAAAATTTATTTTTCCTCTTCAAATTTCAGTATAATTTGAGCTTTAAAAATGGGTTGATATTACAGCTTAATGAATAGACGTCATCAAAGGCGAAATTTTACCTCTTTTTTTAATTAAATACTTGATATTCTATTTGATCGAGGGTTGCTTTTTTATAACGTTGTCTTATACTTATATCTTTCAGTATTGGTTTGAAAGAAGTTTTTGCAGTTGTACAAATTTTTCAGCTACCCCCAAGATAACCTTCCGAGTACGGACCCGTGAGCCTTAAGTCTGTCGCTGCTTTTATGTCTATTCAGATAATAATATATTATTTGAGAAACTTTGTCACTTATCACAGTCGGTACTAATGTCACACATTCATTACGATATATCGATTATCCCATTCGAGACGTTCATCATATTTATCCAATCGTGACTCCATAATCCTGAAGTTTATTTTAATGAATATATTCCACCATTTACAGATTTCTATTTAACTCGAGACCATCAATTCACATTCTGTACGACCTTACCAGATGACGGTCCATCCTGCAACATTATGCCTAATGCCTAATGCCTCGATACTAACTTCCAAAGCACTGACTAGACTAACAGTTGCATATTACAGGTGAGTTTTTGCCTCGATGGCAATACCTCAAATAAATTTTGCATTATAAAAGCGAACAACCTCACTTGAAGTGGCAAAATTCTGACAAATCTTACGATGTTTCATTATTTAATTCAAAAAGCCAATTAAATATTTTGGGGAATGTATTTCGCCCATGTTAATCGAACTGAAATGCAAGTCTGGCCTTCCAGAGAAGTAATAAATAAAATCTTTAGTTGCTAAAATAAACATTCATGATAAGATTATCTTTCAGAACGACTTATGATCCTGACAGCAAGAACATTCACTTTTATACTTTCATATGCTCTTCTAGTGAGATATATACGTGCTGGGTTAGTCCTTTGGCATAGAATTTAGTTTCTCTTACTTCGGAAACTTTCCTTTAACGCCCCTTACGTTATACTGAGGACGTGGAAAGATGCGGTATGAATCGACCTCTCTACGTTCCCTCGAACTGTTACCTACCCCCCCCCACTTTCAGTATTTTTCCTTAGGTTCCCCTCCAGTCGTCTGACCAGCCTGTTCACAGGAATGTTCGTTGTGATAACCTGCGCCAGTGACAATAAGACTATTGACACAGACCAGAGAGGATACAACAGGTGTCCTAGAGAACGGGCGGTGTGACAGACCCTCTCACTATCCGCTTATCTTTCAACGGCCTCAGTGTAGTAACTAGGAGCCGGGATACCGAGGGGTCGGAGTTCTAGCTCGATAGTTTCAAGAATTTCTTTTTTCTCCACGTCGTCCAGACCGGTTCCGGGGTCCACCCACCCAACCTCCTCTCGAATAGGTACCGGAGCCCCTTTTCCTGAGGTAAAGCGGCAGAGGAGTGAAGCTGACCACTCACCTCCAGCTAGTGCCGAGGTCCAGAAGAAGTGGATCTATACATCCACTCTCCCATACACCCTAATGTCGTAGTGTTTAATTAGTTAAGCACAAGGACAGCTTTACCTTACCAATGTAGTAACTTTGTTTGCTGCTTTAAATATTACAAAATTTTAGGACGCTTTTTTGATATGTGAAACACAAAAAAAAATGCATCAGAAAAGCGTCAGTTTTTCTAAATAAATTGCCAAGTCCTTGGCATGAAGTTTTGAACTTAAGCATGACAAATATCTACGCACGAATTTTCTGCAAAAAAAAAAAAGAAGGTCTCAAATAAAACCATTAAACAATAAATTCTATGAGCAGTTAATGTTTCAGGCGAAGAAGGCGAAGCAGGCCGACATCGACCGCAAGCGCGCCGAGGTGCGCAAGCGCCTTGAGGAGACGGCCAAAGCCAAGAAGGCCAAGAAAGGTTTTATGACCCCGGAGAGGAAGAAGAAACTCAGGGTGAGTCTTTACCATATTTGCTAGAGCCGCTTCTCCTACTCCAAGTTTAGCTCAGTTTTAGGCACCCGTCGTCCAGTGACGCGCATTCTACGCAATAAAAGGAAGAATCCGTGGAAACCCAGGCCCAGTCCAAGGTGAATTCGTGATGAATCAAGTGGCACTGAAGATTATTCAGAATTTCTTCGGTTCTCTCCTTGCTAACGGTATCACACTTGACCAGACCCGGGATTGAACCCGGGCCGCCGCGGTGGGAAGCCAGTGACTAACCGCTTGAGCTATGGCACGGCCAATATTCACAGTGTAGTACCTCGTACTTTAAAAACCCTGGATTTAGGAGCAAGAGGACTTTCAGACTGTGCCGAGGCCATTGAGTTGGATGAAAGAAACCGTGGATTTCACCTTCTGACAGAGAAAGAATTTGCTGCAGTGATATTTTTTTATTTGTTTATTGTTACCAGCACCGCTCATATTATTAAATTTTCCACTTATTTGTTTTCAAATTTTTGCCTTTTAGAGCAACCTTTTACTTCATTAATTCGTATTATCGGTTAATCCGGACACCTCCCCCTCCAATTAATCCTGATTAGCGAAGGTTTAATATATATATATATATATATATATATATATAACTCTGTTAGGTCACAATCCTTCCTTCAGGTGCTTTCCAGTTCATCTATCGTTATAACATTTGACGCTATATAATACAGATACTGACGGCAACACAAAATGGCGCCCATTCCAAAGCAGACATTCATATACAGAATACTAACGTTCACTCGTGTACTCACTTTACAGTTGCTGCTGAGAAAGAAGGCCGCTGAAGAGCTGAAGAAGGAACAGGAGAGGAAAGCAGCCGAGAGGAGGAGAATCATTGATGAACGCTGTGGTAAACCCAAAAACGTTGACGACGCTAACGAAGGTGAGAACAGAAAACAACATTGTGTGAAATGTTTGCTGGCAGACGGTCAAATGGCGAAGGGCGGCTTGAGATATGATGCCTTCACAGTAACGAGGATTCATATTGTGGTCTGCCGAGTTACCGCGTTAGTCTGGCAGGTGGGTATGTCAACGTTTCGGAGGAGCTTTCTTCCTTCATCTTCAAGGTAGAAGTGAGCCGGTTTGAGAATTTGGCTGGTTATATAGAACCATGTGTCTGATTGGCCACTTTCGTCTCCTTGCTCGTATATAACCCTCCACTTCCCAGCGTGGTTTACTTCTACCCTGAAAATGGAGGCAGTGTATCCCCCGATACTTTGTTATCCACCTGCAGGACTGCAAGGCTTCATAACCCAGAAGATCGCAATATAAAAATATCTGGGATCAGTATGATACCTTATGATTTATTTAACTGATTCTGTTTCATGTGGATGCGCTATTTCATCCATGTTCGGCATATTTATGAACAAATACCGCATTCGGCCTTACAAGCTTTACCGGCATTTCTAAAGATGTGATCACCACCACGTTTATTGGTCACTATATTACGTAATCAGGTGGGTACACAAATTACAAATCGCTTCGCTGATAAATACACACCAATATCATCATTTTCCTGGAAAAAAAAATCATTATAATGTTTAATTATCTGAATATTGAATTTTGCCCCGCCTCTGTGGTCTAGTGGTCAGCGTTCCTGGCTATAGATCCAGAGGTCCGGGTCTGGAACAGGGTCCACTCAGCCTCGTGAGGATAACTGAGGAGCTATTTCAAGGAGATAGCGGCTCACGGCCGTGGGGATCCATTGCCCTGACCACACGACACCCTCTATCCGCAAAAGTTGGCACTAACTGACAAACGGTGGTCGCTCGATCGGTATAGTTCGCTTGCGGACTAAACCCATGGTGTTTTTTTGTTTGTCGGGATTGATCTGATCGAAAACACTGAATGGACGTAATTATTATTACAAAAATAATCTCTCTGATTTTATGCGCTTGTATGTGTAATACCCACTTGATGATGTAATTCCATGATCCGTCTAATGTTGATTCTATGTAGAAGTGAAGCCTGTGTGCTTGCATGCAGTGTTCATCTACACCAGGTACTTCTTCTTCCAAATACCAAGTTCATCAAATACAATGTTCGCGGAATTTGTGTAACGTCGCTTAATTATGTACAGAGAAGAGAAATATCCTTAAATGTAATCTTGAATCACTGAAGAAATGTTGACCTTAGATAATAACACACGAAGGTGCCCAATATGAAGTATGAACGTGGTATTTGGACAAATAAATTCACTCAATGAATGTATTTCTTCCAAATTCTCCTTTCGAATTTAACTTGTTAAAATTCAATTTTAGATATTGTATTTGAAATCGAATTATATCTCACGTACTGTTTAATAACAACATGAACCGTACACACGACAATGTATTTTAAATTCAATTGCAGTTCAGCTTAAACTTCTTAAAAGCATTACATCATTTAATTATACATAAACACACAATACCACACATAATACAGATGCACCCTTTTCATGTTACAAATAATACATTTCTTTAAGAAACTATGCCCATTTCTGCTCACAACTACGCCTGAACTGCGTAATACAAGTGAAAGCAAACTTTACTGTCATCTGTTGACACCCGATGCTATTCACTGTTGAGTTATTAGACGATTGAAATGTATACGTTACGACGAAAATACGGAAATCAACTTAACATTGTTTCGTAATTAAAAACACATAGACATTCGCGGCGCTGTCAGCGAACTCGTAACTCTGCTGTGTTATACATTCTGCTAGAAAGGCTTTATGCGTCTTATGGTGCTGGCAGGAAGCCGCTACAACAGTGAGGACTCCAATAATCAGGATAAATCGTCACCAGAAGCTAAAACGCACCCATAATTCCCCTAGAACCATATGGTGGACATCAGTTAGCTGATTAAGGAAACGAAAGCAGGCGCTGTGACCTCAGCAGAGACACGAAGAGAGGTTATGTGCTTTCAATCAGCAACAACTCTGCACACAGTGCGACTTGCACATTTCGTTCTCTCTGGTGGATCTCTACGATCTACCATTTTACAGCTTTCTAAAGACATCGGCATATAATATTATCAGAGAGACACATATTACACTCTTCTTGCAGTCGACGCAATTTTAATACCGGTTCATTCCAAGTGTTGCCAATTCAGCAAACACCGGGAGGCATTAGTGACGAGTATGCCTGTGCATACGAAGGTGAGGAGATATGAATGAAATGGCTGGACAGAGGAAGGAATTTTTCTATTGATTACCACGTCTAAAACACTTCTATGGGTATTCATTCCCCGGCAATCAATAAGCAAAAACGTGAAGTTGATCACTTACCTCAATCTATTGCTGAAATGTAATATGCATCGAGGTTTGCTTCCGCTCCATAACATATGTGCATGGCTCAAGGGCGCAGTATTCGGCAAAGAAGAGAAATGTTGACAGATATTCTAAATGAATATTCCTACACACATTGGGCTCTTTGAGGAACGATAAGAGACCCGATCATGTTGATAATTGGTGCTTGGAGTTCTCTCTGCTCACAGAATAACGCATGCTACGTGGTCTAATGCCCTCATAAGTCACATTGGTCCCAACGTTTTAGAGCTCGGATCCTGGACTTTTGATAACGCCTGGAACAAATGACTATACCGGGGACCCACTATACGACAGCTCAGTGCAGTAACTGGATAATTTGACATGAAATATTATTTTGAGAACAGAAATTGTGACACGTCTACTGAACGTCATGTCTGTGGTTCCTCACACAGACAAAGACTTTCCTTCCTATGTAACAACATGCCAGACTTCACAAAGATAATAACCAAGATGGAGAGTGGATACAAAGTAGTAGTAAACTACAGAGTCCTTCGTGAGCCACAGATCTCGGTGAAAAATTTTTGACCCTCTTATCACCAAGTCTGCCCCATTTTGTGTGCTCATTGTGTGTCCTTCAGTAGTTGCTACATGAGAAGTTTTCGCGTGCATCTGTCTGTGCTTTATGTCTCATAGCTAGAAATTCGCTACGTTTCAGAAGTTTATAAAGAACATTATATTAAGCTGTCGAAAATTCTGCCTTCATTCTTGCAAATAAATATGTAACACCTTCTCGAACGCTCTACTCCTACATACAGTAGCCACTAAATTGAAATGCGGTAGCGCAGCATAGGCTACAAGCCGGAAGGTCGCGGGTTCGATTCCCAATAAGGTCACTGGATTTTTCATTTCACCTAACACTTCCAGCCACATTATGGCCCTGAGATCGACTCAGGCTCTGATAGAAATGAATACCAGTAATCTTCCTGGGTGGGTGTGTAAAGGGCGGCCGTCGCGTAAGGCTGACTTCACCGCCATCTGTGAGCCAATTGTCTAGAAAATGTGGTAGCCTCGACGGTCTCTTACAGTGATACCTTTACCATTTTTATATACAGGGTGTCCCAGGAGGAATGGACCAAACTTCGGGAGGGTGTTCCTTATGTTAAAGTATGCCGATATAACCCAAAACACCTATGTCCAAAGTATGTATATGGTTCGAGACCTCGTGGAAGTAGGCTAGGCATTCAGTCCACTTGAACTTTTACAAATAATTCAATACTGGAGAAGGAATACACGTAAGCTACCAAATATTAACATTATTAAAAATGTTATTATTTTCATGCTGTTCTGAATACTTTATGGCTATCAGTAAATTAGTCTAATCGAACTAAACGCAAGTAAGTGCATTTTCTGGGCCACGCCATAGCTGAAGCAATTAGTCGCTTGCTTCCCACCGCGGCGGCCCGGGTTCGATCCCGGGTCTGGTCAAGTTGTGGTTGACAAAGTGGCGCTGGGGCAGGTTTTTTCCGAGTACTTCGGTTTCCCCTGCCAATCTTCAATCCACCAATTGCTCCACAGTCACCCTCACCTATCATCTGAGGCTGGTACAATAGGCCAGAAGTGGCCGCAGTACAAGGGACTTAGTCCCACCCCACTAGCAATAAATAAGGTCATTCTCTGCTCCCCCTCCCCTTGTCGGCGAGCATATATGTATATATTGAGACTGAATTCTTAAGCAGAATTATTGCAACATGCTTACGCTTTAACAATAACTGTAAGAGCAAACATCACACCAGTTATCAGTATTTTGAAAATAACATTTATATTTCCATTTCCAAAAGCTAAGTCACTATCGAGACCCCTTTCTCATTTTTCATTGACCTACATAAGGTTAAGTTAAGCGGTAGGGGATTTCTGTGATCCAATGGTCACAATTTCCAGATCTAGAAAACAAATAGACAGTTCTATTGGCCTCGTTGCTGTATGTAGGAGTCTTGCGACGTCAGAGCCCTCTGTGAACGGAGAGCAGAATTAAGACAACTGTGTTTATTTCTATGTTAAGTTACCTGTTATTCATAATGTGTCTGTGTGTATGTGTGTGTGTATCCGTCGCAGAGACTATTAAACGCGTCCTCAGGGACTACCACGAGAGAATCAGCACTTTGGAAGACGAGAAGTTTGATCTGGAATATGCAGTTAAAAAGAAAGATTTCGAGGTAGAATTTGTTTCTTTTCAACCTTCCGTTTTTCTTCGAATGACAAGTTGTGTCGCTGAGCAGTTGTTTTTATTTTCCATGGCACATAATCAGGGTGTGATTCCAAGTTCAGGTTTCTGACCTCTTCCACTTCACCCTTTCTGAGTCGTGTGAAGACCACAGATTTTTTAGTTTACAAGAAATCGATTGTGCTGATCGTTTTAAATACTAGTCATGTGGTCGTAAATTGCATTTCATTACATATATTTACAATGCAAACATTCTCCATGACTTTGAATTCAGTTTACAGCTACAAATATACTTTATCATCAGATAATATCTAAAAGTTGTGACGATGGTATATTGCTACAAGTATTATGTTTTTGGACATTATCCATCGTGTTGTCTATTTTCTGAAATCCGTTCTGTTTCTTTTAAAAA